TAAGAAACAAGATCCAACAATATGATGTATACAAGAAATACATTTAATTCAAAAAGAAATGCATAGACTGAAAGTCAAAGGATGGAAAACAATATTCCATAGGAAAAAAGCAGGCATAGCTATTCTATTTGCAGATAAAGTGAATTTCAAGCCAAGACTGATTAAAAGTGATAAAGAAGGTCACTGCATCCTTGTAAAAGGAGTAATCCAAGAGGAAGAGATAACAATCATAAATATATATGCAACAAATATTAGTGCACCCAGCTATATAAAATAATTACTAATGAACATAATAAATAAGCCCTAATACAATTGTATTGGGAGACCTCAATACCCTACTGTCACAAAAACATCAACTAGACACCAAATCAATAATGAAATATTAGAACTAAAACTAAATATTAGAACTAAAACTTTTGAGCAAATGGACTTAGTAGATGTCTCCCACATCAGAATATACACTCTTCTCAGCTGCCCATGGGAAATCCTTCAAAATAGGCCATATACTGGCTCATAGAACATGCTTAAGTAAATGCAAAGGAATTGAAATTATCTCATGTATATTATGAGACAACAGTGCAATGAAATTGGAAATCTATACCAAAGGAAACCACAAGAATTTCAAAAACACATGGAAATTAAATAGCACCCTCCTAAACAGCCAATGGGTCATAGATGAAATTAGAGAAGAAATTAGACAGTTTCCACAGTTGAATGATAATGACAATATAACAAACAACTTGTGGGACACAATGAAAGCAGTCTTTTTGTTTTGTTTTGTTTTGTTTTTGTTTTTTATCAGTACTGGGGATCGAACTCACGACCACCTGCTTGCAAGGAAGGCGCTTATGGTGCTAGGAAGCAGTCTTAAGAGGGCAATTTATAGGAGTAAATACCCTTATTAGGAAAACAGAGCAAGCACATATAAGCAACTTAATGTTGAACCTCAAACTTCTAGAAAAATAACAGGCTAAACCAAAATCTTGTACAAGGGAGGAAATTATAAAGGTCAGAGCACAATTAACACATTGGAGACTAAAAAAAATACAAAGAATCAATGAATTGAAGAGTGAGTTCTTCGAAAGAATCAATAAAATTGACAAACACTTAGCCAACCTTATTTAAAAAAAAAAAGGGAAGAAAAGACTCAAATCCACGCAATTCAGAATGAAAAGGGTGAAATCACAACTGACCCTACAGAAATCCATAAAATCATCTCTATCTACATTGAAAACTTGTATTCCAATAAGTTGGGAAATACAGAAGAAATGGACAGATTCTTAGACACATGTGAATTACAAAAGCTGAATCAAGAAAATATAAAAATTCTAAATAACCCAATATCCATAATTGAAACTGAAGATGCAATTAAAAACCTATCAACAAAGATAGTTCCTGATGAATTCACTGTGGAATTCTACAAGAAATTTAGTGAAGACCTAACACCACTACTTCGCAAACTCTTTAATGAAATTGAAATGGGTGCAATACTCCCAAATTCATTCCTGAAAGCAAGCATTACTCTGGAATAGAAAAGGTAATCCTGAGCAACAAAGACAAGACAGGGCGCATCACAATCCCTGACCTGAAATTACACATAAAGCTACTATGATTAAAAAAAAAAGTGTGGTACTGTCAGAAAAATAGACCTGAAAATCAATGGAATAGATTAAAAGATGCAGAAACAACTCCAGACACACTAAACCACCTTATCTTTGACAAAGGTGTCAGACACATTCATTGGAAGAAAGCCTCTTTAAAAAATGGTGCTGTAGGGGCTGGGGATTTAGCTCAGCGGCATAAGCGCCTGCCTTGCAAGCAGGCAGTCGTGAGTTCGATCCCTGGTACTGATAAAAACGAAAAAGACAAAAAAAAAATGGTGCTGTAAAAATTGGCTCTATACACGCCAAAGATTAAAACTGGACCAATAAATTAGACGTGATGGCACACACCTGTAATTCCAGCAGTTGAGAGGTTAAGGCAGGAGGATCATTGTGAGCTCCATACCAAATCTGAGCTACAAAGTGAGGTCAAGACCAGCCTGAACTACATAGTGAGACCTTGTCTCAAAAGAAAAAAACTGGACCCATATTTTTCACCACCCACTAAGCTAAAATCATAATGGATCAAAGATCTTAATATTAAAACAGAAATATTAAACCTGCTGGAAGATAGAATAGGTAAAACTCTTGAAGGCATTGGTGTAGGCAAAGACTTTATGAACAAAACCCCAGTTGCACAGGAACTGTCCAAAAAATCAACAACTGGGATCTCACCCTACTGACAAGATTTTGCATAGCAAGAGGAAACCACCAACAGAGTGAAGAGAAAACCCACCACGTGGGAGAAAATGTTTGCCAGCTATTCCTTAGACAAAGGATTACTATCAAGAACATATAAAGAACTTTAAAAAAAATCGTTCTCCTAGATTGAAACACCCAATCCAAAAATGGGCATCTTAAGATGAATGCACACTTCAGATGAAGAAATACAACTGACAAATAAATACATGAAAAAATGTTCAACAGCACTGGTCATTCTAGTGATTCAAATCAAAACAACACTGTGATTTCACCTCTCCACAGAAAGATTGGCTAGTATCAGGAAATCCACCACGAACAAATGCTGGAGGGGCTGTTGGGAAAAAGGAACCTTTCACTTGGTGAGAATGCAGACTGGTGCAACCACTATGGAAATCAGTGTGGGGACTACTCAAAAAACTAGGACTAGAGGTCCCATTCAACCCAGCTGTTCCCCTTTGGGGTGTCTTCTCAAAAAAATTAAGAACATACCATAGTGACATATATGCACCCATGTTTATAGCAGCACAATTTGTAATAACTAGATCTTGGCAACAACCTAACTGCCCATCAACTGAGGGATGGATAAAAAAGATGTGGTATTTTTATATAATGGAGTACTACCCAGTCATAAAGAATGATAAACTGGACACTTTTATAGGTACATGGATGCATCTTTTTTTTAAAATTTTTTAAAAACTTTTTATCAGTACTGAGGATCAAACTCACCACCGCCTGCTTGCAAGGCAGGTGCTTATGCCACTGAGCTAAATCTCCAACCCCTAATGGATGTATCTTGAGACCATACTCATTAGTGAAATAAGACACACACATGCAAACATCGTATTGTTTCTAGTGTAACAAACTGAAAGAAAGATAAGTATATGTATATAAAATAGTTAAGATAGTTATACTATTGATTTCTCTGAGTTCCCTGAAAGTAAACATTTGTATTGTTTGGACAACTGAATGTAGATGTCTTTTTCTCTGGGTGAATTATTTGGACATGACAATGCATAATATATGTACCATTGTTGCCCCTTGATTGACTTGTTTCGAAATTTTGTTGTACTACTACTACTACTACTACTATTTTTTTCTATCTTTGAATAAAGTGGATTTTTAAAAAATGAAATTAAAAAATATAAATTTTAAATTTTCTCTGCTTTAAAATAGCTTCTACAGGAAGATCTCAATTTGGAGGCGAGTCTGGACCACACAGCAAGACCTTTCTCAAAAAACCAAACAAGAGGCCAGGTGTGATGATGCACCCAGCACTTGGGAGACTGAGATAGAAAGATCCCCACGAGTTCAAGGTTAGCCTGTGCTACATAGTGATTTCAAGGAAAGCCTGAATTATATAGCGAGATGCTGTCTCAAAAAAACTAAAAAGGGAAAAAAAAAAAAATTAAAAAAAAAAAAAAAAAACTAAAAAGGGAGCTGGAGATTTAGCTCAGCGGCATAAGCGCCTGCCTTGTAAGCAGGCAGTCTGAGTTCGATCCCTGGTACCGATAAAAAGGAAAAAGACAAAAAAAAAAATCCAAAGAAAGGCAAAAGGCAGGTAATTGTTCCAAACACAGGCTGATCACGGTGATTCAAGAAACAACAGCGGTAGGGGTGCTGCGAAGAGAAGCCCAACATGGAAGGACTACAAGTCCCATGATGCAACGGAGGGGCGGTGCATACCTCTGAGTTCCCACCTCCTGCGCAGAAGGCAACAGTGTCCTCCTGGGTTCAAGATAGCTCTACCGAAGTCGCGTAGTTCCGTGAGGCCCCGCCCCCGGAACACCTCTCCGATTGGCACCGCCCTGGTGTCCATGGCGACGGCTGTGGCTGCTGCTGCCCGCTGGCTTAAAGAGCTAGAAGCTAACGCTGAAGGGGAGCTGGCTCCCCGTCGTGTCTGCGGAGGCCGCGGTCCTGTGATCACAGAAGCCCAAAGAACGCCCAGGCATAGTCGGAGCGGGCAAAGGGCGGCCATGAGCTACCAGCTAACCCCAGCTTCGGGCCGCTAGGGGCAGCTCCTCGCCACATCGGGTGGGCAATGTCCGCAGTGAACAACCTTTGCCTAAAGGGACTTAGCCATCGAGTGCCTGGCCCCACCTTGTCCCGGGACAGGGAAAGGGCAAGATAGAGGAGGACCTTTGATCTTCAGCTATATTTTAAATTACGTTTATGTTTTTGAGTTTTGTACTGTGGATGGAACCCGGTATATGAGTCAACTACCATGGGTCACTATCTGTATTTTAAAGCAAAGATATCCTCTACTTCTCCCAGCTATCCCTCCTCCCATTCAGGAACAACAAAAAAGCCATGGTCTCTTCTCAAGCTAGCGCTGTGCCACTCCTATAGGCACCAAAGTATGTTGTATGATCCAAAGTATGTTGTGTGATCCCAGAGGTATGGAGACTGTTGGAGAATCCACTTCTCACCTGCATCCAACCCCACGACCCAGTACATTTGAAAACATGCTGTTTAGTGGGATTGTTCTGATCTTTTTGTTTTGCTTGTTTTTTGAGGCAGGGCTTCACTATGTAGTTCACTCTACCCTGAAACTCACTGTGTAGCTCAGACTGGCCTCGAACTTGCAAGGATCCTCCTCAGCCTCTCCTGCCTCACTCTCTTCAGTGCTGGGATTATAGGCTTGCACTCGTCTGATACATATCTCATCCTCACACACCCTCCCCAACAGAGTCTAAAAGGATGGAGCCAAGCACCTGTAAGAACAGTGAAACCGATGAAGACGATGTTGAGGAAGAGGAATCTGAGGAGGAGTGTGTTAAAGAGGAAGCCCTGGTCCTTTCTAATCCTTCGCAGCAGGCCTTGTCAGAGGCTGACCATAGGGCATTGGAGGATGGGGTTCCCTTAGCTATCATAGCCAAGAAAATTATAGCTCCAGCTGACACAGATGACCTTGGGAGGAGGAGAAGAAAGCGGAAACGCAGGTAACCTTTTCCTGGCAGGTCCGGAGTCCCCCCAGCCTCCCTTCAGCATTTAGGGGACTAGGGTAGGTATCTGTGCTCTTCCCTTTAGCTTTCAAAACAGAAGAGGAAAGGTTAGAGCATCGTTAACCTTTTGGTATCAAAACAAAATCGGGGTTGGGGATTTAGCTTAGCGGCATAAGCGCCTGCCTTGCAAGCAGGCAGTCGTGAGTTCGATCTCCGGTACCGATAAAAAGAAAAAAGACAAAAAAAAAAAAAAAAAAAAAAAAAAAAAAAAAATCCCGGGCTGGCTCAATTTGGAATTTCAGCATGTTTATAGCACCCTGGTGTTGCCTTTAAGTGGCCTCTAGAGAAAATGAATTCTGAATTTCTTGGCTATCTCTTTATCTGGGTATGGGGCACCCCAGAAGTCTGTCCTTCCTTCGCCGCCCTTTCCTGATTTCTGCCATTCCTCCATTCCAGGCCCCTGACCATCAACTTGACCAACTGCAAGTACGAGAGTGGTAAGCGCTATTGTGCACAGGGGACTTTCTTTCTCGCACTGGGATAGAACTGCAGTCAGGCTCCCAACCCTAGGTCTTGTCAGGCCAGCTCCTCAGCTCAGCTACTGTGATATTGATGCTCCAATTAGTCTCCATCATAGGAAGTGTATCCCCACAGTTAGCTAACAAGAAAAAACTAAATGGCTGAGAATCTGGTTGGTCCAGCTTTCCCACACTTTAACAGAGAGAAGACAAAAGTTAAGTTTTTTCAAGGTTAGGGCTATATCTTGGTGGAAGTGTTTACCAGCCTGCACACCGCCCTGGGTTCAGTGCCCAGCACTGCAAAACAAAAACAAGCTGGTGTGGTACACACTGGTAATCCTAGCATTCTGGGAGGTTGAGGCAGGAGGATGGCAAGTATACATGTAGCCTGAACTTAGCAAGACCCTGTCTCAAAAAATAAGATAAGGTTATGGGAAAAGCTCAGTATGAAGGACCTGATTTCATTCCCAATACTACAGATTTGTGGTATAAATACTACCACAGTTTTTTTTTTTTTTTGGTCTTTTTCTTTTTTATCGGTACCAGGGATCGAACTCGCGACTGCCTGCTTGCAAGGCAGGCGCTTATGCCACTAAACTAAATCCCCAGCCCCTACCAGTTTTTTCAAGGAAACTTTGAAGAGGCTTCAGCAGTTAGGAAAAGAAAATACATCTGGGTCAGCCTTCTCCTCCCCTTTCCCCTTTTATCTCCACTGGCATCTGTGTAAGAGATCACTAGTGTTAGATGCCAGTGGGGCCCCCAGTTAGCATCCACCTGCAAACCAGAAACTGTCCTGACTGAGAAATAGATCTGCCAGGTTCTCACTGCTGCCACACATTCGGGAAGCACACGGCAGCCTCATGAACGTGAAGTGGCCACTTGGTAAATAAGACACAGAGCAAAGGTATGGTCACCCACCTCCTCTGTCCTTCACTCAGCTCTGTTCCATCCCTGACCCACTTAGTGTTCCTGGGCTTGCTGATGGTGCCCAGGTCACAACACTGACCACCCTGTCTCTGCAGTGCGGCGGGCAGCCCAGATGTGTGGCTTGAAGGAAGTGGGTGAGGATGAAGAGTGGATCCTGTACTGGACAGACTGCTCAGTCTCACTGGAGCGAGTCATGGAAATGAAGAGATTTCAGGTAACAATGTTCTGGCCTAAGATCCAGAATGACTGCACACACACACACACACACACACTCCCACCTGCCTGGCCTCCTGAGGCTACCCAGGCTGGGCCCCTGTATAGATAAGAGAGGGTCCATGCAAGCTCTTTGTCAATGGAAGCTCTCTCTCTCTCTCCTCTTGGCCCTCGACACCACACCTGACCACATATTTTCATTCTCTGATCAGGTCTTTAGGATGATTAGCAATAAAATAAGTCACCCAAACTTAGTGATGGGGTTGCATTTCTGAAGAATGTATTAATAGGCAATGTCATTGCTATATGAGCATTGTAAGTGTCCTTGTACAGTTAAGATGGCTTGCCAGGTGTGGTGGTGCATGCCTGTGATCTCAGTCCTCAGGAAGTCGAGGCAGAAGGATTTCTGTGAGTTCAAGCCCAGCCTGGGCTACATAGTGAGTTCAAAGCCAGCCTGAACTACAAAATGAGACTCTGTCAAGTAAAAACAAAAACAGAACAAAAAACTGTCTAAATGACACTACTGGGAGGTATAAATTCTTTTTTTGTTGTTGTTTTTTGGTTTTTGTCTTTTTCATTTTTATCGATACTGGGGATCAAACTCAGGACCGCCTGCTTGCAAGGCAGGTGCTTATGCTAAATGCCCAGCTAAATCCCCAGCCTGAGGTATAAATTCTTTTAAGATGAATGTGATCATTATTTATGTTTAAAATGTACCAATAAAATCTGGTTGGCAAAGACAAAATAAAAATAAAGTACAATGCTGGGGATGGGATACAGAGCCTTTGCACTGAGTTACATTCTAGAGTGTCCTCCCCCACACCCAAATTCCAGTTAAATCTAGGGATTTATCTATTTATTTTTGGTGGTATTGGAGATTGAACTTGTGACCTCTTACTTGCCAGGCAGATGCTTACCCCACTGAGCTAAATCCCCAGCCCAGATATTTAACCCAGGGCCTTCCATTGAGCTATATACCCAGCTTTTAAAAAGAATTCTTTTTGTTTTTAATTTTGAGATAGGGTCTGGTTAAATCACTGAGTTGCCCGAGCTGGGCTCAAACTTGCAGTCTTCCTGACTCAGCTTCCTAGAGTGGTAAGATTATAAGCACGGGCCTTTTTCAACTTGCCTTCACCTTGGTATTTTAGGAAATGTTTCTTCTTATGTGTTTGTGCTGTCATAGATTGTTATTCTTATAGCACTAGTTATGGTGGTCTGGGGATGTTAGAACGGTAGCTAGAATGTCCAAGATCCTGGCTAGTGTACCCTGTCACTGGGCCTGGTGGCCTAACTTTCTGGGATGTGTGCATTTTAGATGGAGCAAGGAGGCCTCATAGGGCATCTTCCAGTTTTCATCCTTGCAGTATGAGGTATAGCATTTCCCTCCACTGTGACTTCTGCTTTAACCTTCCCAGTTCTCTTCCACTGCCTCTTGGATACCTGGCCCCCAGGATCTGCCACTTATTGGGGCAGGAGTGCAGTACCACCAACTGGCTCTGTTTCAGAAAATCAACCACTTCCCTGGCATGACAGAACTCTGCCGCAAAGATCTGCTGGCACGTAACCTCAATCGCATGCAAAAACTCTACCCCAGCGAGTACAACATCTTCCCCCGCACCTGGTGCCTCCCTGCCGAGTGAGTGGCATCCTGGGGCAGGGGAGGGATCACCCCAAGAGTTCCCTCCAGACTCTGGTCTTGTGCCTTAGGTATGTCTCAGAGGGCTGGACATGGGCCAAGTAAGTTTCAGCTGGTCAGAAAAAATGTAGTTCTGAAGCAGATACCCACGGAGGAGCAAAAAGATTTTCACAGGGCCCTGGGACAGCCGTGGTGCACAGGAACCTCCTGACCAGCCTTTCTCTGCACACAGCTATGGGGACTTCCAGGCCTATGGTCGGCAGCGAAAAATCCGTACTTACATCTGCAAGCCAGAGAGCGGCTGTCAGGGCCGTGGCATCTTCATCACTCGAAACCCCAAGGAGATCAAGCCAGGAGAGCATATGATCTGCCAGCATTATATCTCCAAGGTGAGGGATATTGGGGACCACCGGGCCCCTCCCTGAATTGTAGGTTTCAGTGCTCATGAAACTGGGCTGACTCTTGAGAGGCTGACTGCCCAGGACCACTTAGTCTTTATAGGCCTAGGTCTCATGTCTGAGCTCAGAGTACAGCCGCAAACCCACCCAACATCTAATCTCTGCTCCCCAGGTCCCTGCACTGGGGACCTGGTCCTCCTGGAATCCAGGGAGGAAACTGCTTCAGGTACCTGTATCTGGTCTGCTTTCCCCTGGAGGCAAATGGAGCCACGGTTCAGAGCCAGTCTTGTGATCTTGGCAAGTTTTTTACTCCTTCCTTGGCTCCATGTCCTTACTGTTAAATGGGAACAGTAACCGTGGCTCCTTGATACAGCTGCGGGGGGGAGCAGAGTCAGTTGTTCTGTACTCGGAGCATATAGCATGCAGCATGATGTAAGTGCTTCAGAAGTTTCCAGTTCTTTCCTCTGGCTCTGTGTGCTTGCAGCCCTTCCTCATTGATGGCTTAAAGTTTGACATGAGAGTCTACGTCCTAATTACATCCTGCGACCCTCTCCGCATCTTCATGTACGAGGAGGGCCTGGCCCGCTTCGCCACCACACCCTACATGGAGCCCAGCCATAACAACCTGGTGAGCACCAGGCTAGCGCCTCCTTCTCTGGTGTAGCAGTGCCAAGGTTCTAGGAGAATCTAGCAAGAGTAAGGAAGCCAGGGAGTGTATGGCACCTGGCTGTGGGGAAAGCCTTTGGCGAGTAGTGACAGAGAAAAAGCCCAGCAGCCCCTGCTTCCCAGGACCCTACAGGACAGTCCCCTGTGAAGAGAGCCAAGACATCAGCAACCCTGGAGAGGGGTGGGTAACAAGAAAGCAATGAGGGCCCGAGAGCAGGCAGCACAGTGAAGTGCACTGGACCCTTGCTTCCCAGGAGAATGTCTGTATGCACCTCACCAACTATGCAATCAACAAACACAACAAGAACTTTGTCCGGGATGATGCTATGGGCAGTAAGAGGTACTACCCCTCTCTCTTTTCCTGCTTTCTCTGCTGCTTAGCTCTACAGCTTTCAGTGCTCATGAACTGGGCTGACTCTTGGGAGGCTGACTGCCCAGGACCACTCAGTCTTTATAGACCTAGGTCTCATGTCTGAGCTTGGAGTGCAGCCCCAAACCCACCCAACATCTAATCTCTGCTCCCAGCTGCTAGCAGCCCTGTGAAGCAGAGAAATGAGGGTCAGCACCGGGGAGCCTCTGCCCTGGCCAGGCCCTGCTGGCATAGCAACAGGTCTTCCTCTGAGCCCTGGGCCTCACAGGAAGCTGTCGACACTCAATGCCTGGCTTCAAGAGCACAGCTACGACCCCCGAGAGCTGTGGAGAGACATCGAGGGCATCATCATCAAAACCATTATCTCAGCTCACTCTGTTCTGCGCCACAACTACCGAACATGTTTTCCCCAGTACCTGAGTGGAGGTACATGTGCCTGTTTTGAGATCCTTGGTTTTGACATCTTGCTGGATCACAAGCTGAAGCCCTGGCTGCTGGAGGTGAGGTTTGTCTCATGGGCTTTGCAAGACCAATGTCCAGAGGCCTCCATGAGCAGGATACCTGGGGGAGGATCGTACATGGTGGGGAACAGCAGGTATGGGACATGGAAGGCCCAGCCCGCAGTGGGCAGGAACTAGCCAAAGCAATAGGATGAGTCTTTGGCCTCTACTGTAGTAGTCAGGTTTGGGCTCCCTGGTGACCCTTGCCTTGAGGACAGCAGATGAGTTAAGAGTCAGGCTGTCTGATCTGTTGTCTCCCCTTGTGAACTGGAGGATCAATGTCAAGTCCTGTGGCCTTGGAAACCAAGCCTCCAGCCTCCTCAGCAAAGTCGACACATGAGATGTCTTTCCTAGAGTCCCAGTTAGGACTGCAAGAGGTCACTACCTCGTCAGGTAGGTGAGAAAGGCACAATGGGGACTTCTCTCCACAGGTGAACCACTCCCCAAGCTTCACCACAGATTCCCGCCTTGACCGAGACGTAAAGGATGCACTTCTCTGTGATGCCATGACCCTCATCAACCTCCAGGGCTGTGACAAAAGGAAAGTGATTGAGGAGGACAAGCGGCGAGTCAAGGAGCGGCTTTGGCTGTGTCACCAACTACCACGAGAAGCCAGGTGTGCCAGGTATCTGACGTGTTGTTAATTTGTTGTCTTTGTTAATACTTTTTTGAGAGTAAAAGCCTTCTGAAAGGAGAAGCCTACTTGGGCCTAATAAGTTATTAAAAATACTACATTCAGGTTTGCTTGGACAACACATCACAAGTCACAGATAATATGTTCAAATACAAATGGTACAGCTGAGCATAGTGGTGCAACCCTATAATCCTAGCACTCAGGAGGCTGAGACAGGAGGATCACTGAGAATTCAAGGCCAGCCTCTGCTACAGTGACACCCTGTCTCAAACACAAACACAAAATCCAAAAAACAAAATATAAATGATATAGTAAATGGTCTTTCTCTTGCCCTTCTCCAGCTTTCTAATTTTTCTTCCTGGAGCCAATCAAAATTTCTACTGTAAGGTGTATATGTTCACAAGCATTTAAACCACAAATATATATATATATATATATATATATATATATATATATATTTTTTTTTTTTTTTTGTACTGGGGATTGAACTCACGACTGTACGCATGCAAAGCAGGCACTTATGCCCTTGAGGTAAATCTCCAGCCCCAACGTATTTATACAAAATATTTTCCTCCTGGCTGGGGATTTAGTTCAGTGGCGTAAGTGCCTGCCTGGCAAGCATGAGGTCATGAGTTTGATCCCCGGTGCAAAAAAATCCCCCAAAATTTTCCTTCCTTGTTTACCCAGACAGTTGTGTAAGTCCCCACTCTGTGCCCTGTACAGCAAGGAGTTTTAAGCTGTTTTCCTAGTAGCCCATAAAGAGCTGTATGTGCTTTGAGCAGCTGGGTTGTTAGTGGAGTTCCTCTAGAAACCCAGGCCCTTGAATCTCTGCATAAAGACAGACAGATGTGTATGGTTCATTAACAAAGGAATTGTTTACATCAGTGTCAGTCATTTGTTTTTTAAAATTAAATGGATTAAGGAAGCAAGAGACATGGTAACCATTGTTGATAACCTTGTACTCTGTTTTTACATCATGTGCTATGTCTATCCTTGGTTTTGACTGACAGCTTTGTTTTTATCATGTTTGATTTTATTCTCTTCCAAAAAAAAAGTAAGATCTATGGGAGCAATAAAACCCAAAATGTGTAAATTTTGTTGTAATAAAGAGAGGGGGGGAAAAGTGCCCTAAAGGATACAACAGCAAGTGTGTTTAGGTGTGTTAAATAATGACCATATTAATGTTTTTGACTGGATCATTGAACACAACTGTTTGCAGTCTCATTGTTTGAATGTTCACTTTGTAAGCTTTGATCCTGAACCACTGTCTCTAAGATGATAGTGTATAATCTATTAACTGGTAATATCTTACTGTTTTTTTCTTTTTCTTTTTTGTAATTCTGTATTACTTGTACCCTTACACTGTTTTGTTTTGTTGTTTCTCTTTTTCCTTTTAAATTAAAAAAATAAATTAATTAAATTAAATAGATTGCAAACACACTTGGTAGTTGTAACCAAAATTCTGATTTGTTAATGATACACACAAGAAAGTTTGGTAGGCTTGGGTTATTCCTGTAATGACACTGTTGTCTCCACTTGCATTCCAGTACACAGGACAGTGTGTATCTGACTCCTCAGACAGCCGTTAGGGCCTGACACACAGCAGGCACTCAACGCTTGTGGGATGAGTGGGAGTGAAGGCTAACAGTGAACACCCTGAGTATTCCCACAGGCTGGACTGTGCCCCTGAGTGAATCATGGCTTTCAGCGGGGGAAAATGGTTGGAAACTACTGAACTAAAGAAACGTAATAAGCTAGTGCAGTGGTGCATGCCTTTAATCAAGCACTCAGAGACTGAGGCAGGAGGATCAGAAGTTCGAGGCCAGCCTGGGCAATTTAGGGAGACCCTATTCCCCACCCCACCTTGCCAAAGCTCAGTGTTTCCTGGGTTGAATCCCTAAGACTACAGAAGGGAGGCAGAAAGGTAGGGAGGGAGAGAAGAAAGGAAGGAAGGAAACCTAAGACATTGGTAAAATTTGAAGTGCTAGCTTACAAGTAGAGCCTTCTGGGGCTGGGGATTTAACTCAGCGGCATAAGCGCCTGCCTTGCAAGCAGACAGTCGTGAGTTCGATCCCCGGTACCGATAAAAAGGAAAAAGACAAAAAAAAAAAAAAAAAAAAAAAAAAAAACCAAGTAGAGCCTTCTGCACTTTGGATGAGAATCAAGTCTGAAAACAGGCCTGTTTTCCATGGTGTACACATGGCAGGGCTGGGCCAACATGGGCTTGGCAGCTGTCCCTACACAGGTGAGGAAGCTGAACAGCCACCAGAAGGTTTTCCCATTTAGCCATCATCCCGTCCCCTACTGAGCATCCTCACAGCCCTCTGACTCCCCTGAGCTCGCTTTCCACAGGCGAGAACAGATAGAGTCATCCCAGGCAGCTGTGCTGGACCAGGAGAAATACGAGGATTCCCACCTCGGGGGATATCGGCGGATCTACCCAGGGCCTGACAAGGAGAAGTATGCGCCCTTCTTCAAGCACAATGGCTCCCTCTTCCAAGAGACTGTTGCCTCCAAGGCCAGAGAGGAATGTGCCAGGTACTTTGGCCTCCATTTCCTCTGTATACATCGGGAAGAGCAAATCCTAAAGCTGAACTCCCTAGTAGGAGGAGATGAAGCCAGACACACAAGGCAAGAGGAACGCGGTTCCAACTCTATCAGTCTCTCGGGGTCTCTTTTCATTCAGTAGGTTTCCCATCTCCCACGTACTCTCGTCCCACTGGCCCTAAGACTGCATTACAATTCTGCTCTTTCCGTACCCTCATCTCCTCGTACCCCCTGCTCCCCAGCACCATTTCCCTGTCTGAAGCTGTGTCTTATCAGGCAGCAACTGGAAGAGATCCGCCTGAAGCAAGAACAGCAGGAAAACTCAGGCACCAAGAGGCGAAAGGAAAACAAGGACCAGAATCTGGGGGAATCAGCTGGAGAGAAAAGCAGACCCAGAGCAGCGCCCCGAACCCACTTGACTTACAGGATGCAAAACCAGGAGAAAGAGCTGTCAAAGGTGTTCTGGTTCTTATCTTTCTGCTGGAAGATGGGCTGGGGTTGCTAGTGAAGGGAACTTCTGCTGTTCTCTCTGCCGTTTGTGCATGAGATGAGCTCATAATTAGTAAAGTAAATCTGAGTGTTTGGACAGAAGTCAGAGAATGGACAGCAGAGGGAGATTATCTTACAGCAGTCAAGTGGGCAGGCGTCCTGCAGCTATCTTTGCTAATGGTTGGGGACTCATCCTTGGAGGGCCTTCATTTATCTCTTCTGTGCCTTGCAGCTGCTACCAATATACCTGGACAGCATGAAACCTCAAGAAATTGTGGAAGAGGAAGAGCTAGAACGGATAAAGGGCTTGCTACATAGGGGGAATCTCATCCGAAGCCTGGGTATCGTAGAGCAGCTTACTCGCATGCTCCACTTTAGCCACCGGAATCAGAAAAACCTTCATGAATATCGGGTGAGGGTCCCTATGAAGTGTCACACAGATCGAAGGAATCCCTAAGGGCTCTGATGCCACAACATGGTAGTGGTCATTCCCAAGGAGGCTTATGTGGCAGTATCTGTCTGTGGAGCCTGTGGAAGCCAAATGTACTGGCCCTTGAGAGAGGGTCTGTCTGTTTTTTCTGTACCTGTTCCCAAGTTCTGTTCCCAAGTTCTGTTATTTTTGGTAGTGATATCCAGCAAAATGCAGCTCCTACTTTTCTCAATTATAAGAGACTTGCTATCTCTCACAGTGTCCCTCACACCTCACAGTGTCCCAACACTCATGACTGACAAAGAACAAGGCTCCCATTACCCCCTGTGATTCTGTCTGATTATTTCACTAGTGCTGCCAGTGCCCTGGCTTTAATAGGAACTAAGTAAACAGTTTTGGGTCAACAAAACAGCTGCTGCATTCAATATTCCATCAGCTAGAAGCAAACCTGTTGGGCGCTTTGTTTTTGTTGAACTCCAAAGAAGTAGCTGGCTAAAAGGAGGCTATGGCCTAGAAGAGATTTTTCAGTTATCTATTTCTTCCAGCCTTCCATCCAACCTCACAAAAAACTATGGTAAGGGGCTGCTTTTCTCCTCTAGCCTAGATTTCACCATGATGGGCTGGGCAATCAAGAAATGCAGTCTCTGAGGCTGGTTCCACTGGTGCTCCTGAGAGAGGCTGCCTCAAAGCAGGGCCATCCACATTTCCTGCAGCCCCAAGAATTGATCCCAAGGCTCTTAGGGCCACTGTCAAGCATGAATGCCACAATTCCGCATCATTCTCAGTATCATCTGCAGTCCAGGAACCTCTACTGGACATGGGATTCAGCAACCATGGGTCCCTGTTCATTGGCAGTGAAGAAACCTGGGACACAGTGTTTTTCCGACACTAGAATCAGGCTTGGGGGCCGTAAGTATATAAAATTAGCTTTGGTCATTTTGATCCACAATTGCCAATAGCAAATATGACAGCTGGGAAGACCCAATATAATGTGGCACTTCTAATACTGTATGTAGTATTAGGGGAGCTGGTGATCCATTTATGACCTCCTTGTAAATACAGTTCTAGCCCCTGGTGATAGAATTGGCAGAAACGCAGTCCCACACTGCAATAAAGGTAACAAAAATGACCAAGTAAACACATCAGTGACAATACAGTGTGGCAAAGACACTGGAGGGTGGGATGTGCGCCATTCTTCCGGGTTGGTAATGGATCACAGAGAAACAGGTGAGTAAATCTCTTCTATGTGTATCAACTGGGGCGGGTGGGGTGGGGTGTCCATGTTTCCACTGCAGAAGGCCAGGACAGCAGAAGGTTAGAAGCCATAAGCCGAGCTCTGGCAGGATCAGCGTCATCCATTTTAACCTCAAAGCAGCGCTATCTTCTGCAGCCGGAGAGAGTGGAAAGCGGCTCATGGACTGAATGCACCTTGCCTTCGATGGTAAACTCTAAATGCAGAGCAGCCAAGCCCGGGAATGTCGCCGTCTGCGTGGCCTCTGCACCTATGCTGCAGCGCCGCAGCACACTTCTCAACGTCAGCCAGCACAGGTAAAGGCAGGAGGGGACCCCAGCACCTACCCTCTCCTGGAGAACCCTCGGGTTTCCAGCGGAGCGAAAGGCCTTCAATCTTTGCTAAGTGAAAGACTGCCACGAAGTTTCAGTGTGAAATCTCCTGGCCAGGAACCTTGTTTGCAAAAGGCACAACTCAAAAGACATTAAGAATTCCTCAACACCCTTCCGGACCGCTAAAGACGAGATGAAAAGCAGGACGGCCACGTACTCATCTCCGCACGGCAAGCCTCAGCATGGCTTTATCGCTAGCAGATGGGTCTGAACCCTGGGTGCTGGCCCAGGGTTGAAGAGCACTCCGTCGACAAAGGCCCTTCCTAGCAGAGCCAAGTGTCCACCGCAAGGAGATGTCGCCGTCTTAGATTTAAGAGGACGCTTCTCCCGCCATCGTGGTGAAGACAGGCAGGCCTGGGCAGCCTTGGGAAAGAAGGACGGCTGCTGGCAACTGGACTGTCTTTTTATTAAAGTTTATGTCGTTTTCCAGGCGCGTGCTATATCTTATTTCTGCCCTCGGGTTTCAGGGACACGCTCACCACGCTCACACTACTGAAGCTTCCTGCTTCGGCGGAAGGGACGTTCCGCCCTTGTCGCCCCGCCCACCCGGTAGGTGGAAGGACGCCGGACCTCTTCAGCTTCCGGTTACCCCTTCCTCTTCCTGGGTCGTCCCCCCCGCTTCCGGTGGGGGTGGGTCGCTGTCTGGAAAGCTGGTTTGCGTCGCCATGGCAGCTACCTTGACACACTGTCTGGTCCGTCGTGTCCGGGCCGCCGTCGCGCGATGTGGATTCGCGACCGAAAGGGTGGCAGGCCCAGGTCCTACCGGCCGCGAGCCGGACCCGGATTCCGATTGGGAACCGGAGGAGCGGGAGCTGCAGGAGTTGGAAAGGTATCGGTTCCTTTGAGGGCCCTCAGCCTAACTAGGGCTCCGCATCCCGGCGCTCCGGGCCGCGCCCCCTTGTTGCCGGGTATCCTGCCTCTGCCTCCGCAGCGACCCTACTTTCCTTTTACCTGTTGTGAGGGCCGCAGGGGCACGTGTTCCGTTTCCTAATGATCGCAGGTCCCTTCGCTAGTGACGTCCTTTTATCATCGGTCTAGAGAGTTCCGCTCTTTTACAGGCAGTTACTGTTCTAGGTGTTCAGATTCTGGGGCGCTGTACAGAGCAGCTCTTAAGCTTCCAGACATGGCGCAGTGGCGTTTGCGGACAGAGAGAAGACGACTGGGCTGTCTAATTTAGCCGGAAACCCTTCAAAAACACTTCTTGCTTGCACGCATGGCTTCTGCCACTGGTTCTCTCCCTTAGCACCCTGAGACGGCAGAAGAAAGCAATCCGATTCCACAGAATCCGGAGGCAGATGGAGACTCCAGGTCCCCCTCCCAGAACTCTGACGCGGGAGGCCATGGACCAGATCCGGTAAGGCTCATAGTAGCTTGATGGCTGTGATGGGAAGTGAAGGACACTGGGCCAGAACACAGGTTTCGCATTTTTAAAATTATGTTTTAAAACAAGGGTGATAGTGCACGTCTGTAATCTCAGCATTTGGGAGGCTGAGGCAGGAGGATAACCACGAGTTCAAGACTAGCCTGGCTGCGTAGTGAGCTCAAGGGCAGCCTGAACTATACAGTGAGACTCTGTCTCAAAAGACGACCAAAAACAAATAAAATTAGTTTTGAGCTACTAGGGATGATATTACCCTAACCTTTTTTTGTTTTGTTTTGGAGACTTGGTCTTAGTTGCCCAGGCAAAGCTCAAACTTTCATTCGTCTGGCCTCAACCTCTCAAGAGTGCTTGGATGGTGCAGGGGAGCAACAGGCCTGTCTTATATTTTCTTGTTTATTATCGAAAATTTTAAACAAAGTACAATAGTGAAATGAACTTACAAACTTAGATTTAGGTCCCCTAGATTTAATAAGTTTTAACATTATGACACACAGTTGATTCCTTTTTTGCTTAACTTTTTAAATAGTAAATTGAAGATGCCACATTTGATATTTAAATAAATCAGCCTAAGGTCCAGAAATGGACCTTCCATGGCTATATACATTTTCCATAACTTAGAAAATCTTTTTCTTTTTTTTGAGACAGGTTCTCACTGTGCAGTTCAGGTTGGCCTTGAATCCATTACAGAGCCCAAGCTGGTCTTGAACTCATGGTGATCCTCATGCCTCAGCCTCCCAAATGCTGGGATCACAAGCATGTACCACCATGCCCAGCAGAAAATCTTAACAGGGATCTTTTTTAAATTCTAAATTTAGAAAAATTTTCTCTTAAAAACATTTTAGTAGATAATATATTACATATGGCTCAGAATTACAACTTGAAGTGTACATTGATTTATTTGCCCTACCCATTTCCTATGAGTATTTCTATTGGTTTTTGTTTTTTCTCCAAATTTCCTTATGCAAATACAAGCAAGTATGAATGAATGTAAATTTTTATTTTCACATCCTGAATCACGAACAGTAGAATACTAGGTATGATTGATTTTTTTGTGTGTGTGCCAGGGGTCAAACTCATGACCTCACACTTGCCAGGCAGGTGCTTACACCACTGAGCTAAATCCCTGGCTCATGGTAGCATGCTGTGAAGTCTGTTCTGCACTTCTTTTTCTACTTTTTGTATCCTATAGGTTTTTCCAATCAGAAGAGTTATTCATTTGTTTCTAACATAGTAAACTGTAGTTTATTTGGGGCAACTTGTGTTGTTTCCATTCTTTTCACTTAGAAATAGTGCACCAATAAATAGCTGTATATACATCATGCAGTGTATCTGCCAGGAGTATTTGATGTATATGTCACCAGAATCAGGCTTACTAATAAAAAGATAAGTGTACATGCATTTTGATTGATATGGTTTAATAGCCCTGTACTGGTCATTTACCATTTTCCATATCCATGGAATGGAGAATGAGCACAGTTGTGACTTAATATAAAGAGAATTTGTAGCACTGGTCAGGACTCGTAGCACACAGCACCTCTCTCCTGGGTCCTCAGCTCCCTATTGTCTGAACCCAGAGTCACGGGTATTCTGGGCAAGTGGTTTTCTGTACTACTGAGTTACAGCCCCAGCCCAGACAGAGTTTTCTGTTGTCTTAAACAGCTTTTCAAACCCTAGTAAATACCCTTTTGTGGTCAAAAAATGTTTTTAACTTCAGGGAAAAAAATAGTCCATTAAGTAAGTTTCCTGGTTCTGTTCCTTACCATCCATTTCTCTGTCTCTCTCTTTCTCTCTCTCTCTCTCTCTCTCTCTCTCTCTCTCTCTCTCTCTCTCTCTCAGACAGAGTCTCACTATGCAGCTAATGTATTATATATGTAATATACTAAAGGATAAGCTGTTCATTGGAGCATTGCACAAGGTCAGGATGACTTTGAACTTTGTGTAGCTGAGGCTGGCCTCAAACTCATGACACTCCTCCTGCCTCAGCTTCTTGAGGAGTGCTGAGGTTACCACCACAGCTGGTTACCTTCCATTCCCATACTCTACTTCCATCTTAGAAGTGATAGACTGTCACTTGTCTAGGACCAGTGTTTGGTGTGCTTTAAGTCATATCTTTCCATGCTTACTCAGGGACCTCTGCCAATTTAAAGTCCTCTGTCATCTAAGTCTGTTAAGTTGCCCCGGCTGGCAAACTTGTAATCCTCTTGCCTGAGCCTGTCACAGTGCTGGGATTTCGCTTCTTATTCCCGGCTGGCTTCAAGGCTACCCGCCTGGCTAACTACCTTTGTTGTTTTTTGTTTGGTGTATGTGTGTTTAGTACAGTCCTTCAGTGATGTCTTCATTTTATTGATCCTATGCAGTCTCTAGCCTCCTTAGCATTTGCATAAACTGGGCATGGTAGTGCATACCTGTAATCCCAGCACTTGGGAGGCTGAGGCAGGAGGATCTCCCCAAGTTCAAAGCCAGCCTGGACAGCATAGCAACACCCTGTCTCAAAAATAAAGCAGCAGCATTTGACCCGGTAATGAAATTCTGTCACCTTGATCTTACGATTACACAAATAAAACTCAACATATACAAAATAGAATTCATCACTGGTCCTTGACAATGTAATTCTTCTGTTTTCCTTACAACTCATCAACAACCCCAGCTAAGATTCTGAATTGCAGCCTTGATACTTGTACCCCCAATATTTAGTTCCTACCAGGGGACCTTCTGAAATGGTCCTTGGCTCTTTTCCCCCCATCCTCTCACTACCACTGTCTCCATGCAGACTCTTGGGATTATTCTAACAGCCTTTTGCTAGTCTACTGGTGCTTTTTGCATTTTGTTCTTGGCGGTGCAGGGGCTCTAACTCAGGGCCCTGACAGCTCTAAGCAGATGTTCTACCACTGAGCTGCACCCTAGCCCCTTTACCCATGCCTTTACCACTGAGAAACTACCCTTGGATGGAGCTTCACAATGAAAATTCCACTGCTGAAAAATGCTCCTTGGCTCAGTTATTGCAGTAAATTCCAGGCTGCCAAGCATAGCGTGATTGTGCGCTCATCCTCCCTGTCAGGGTGGTGTAGTCCCAGCAAAGGCCATGTGCTTCTCTGCCTTTCATGTGTGCTTCCTGTCAGTATCTTTATCTCCTCTGTCTGCCCCTCTGTCAGCTTATTGCTCCCTTTCATCCTTTAAGATCAGCTCTCAGAGGCTGGGGATTTAGCTCAGCGGCATAAGCACCTGCCTTGCAAGCAGGCAGTTGAGAGTTCGATCCCTTGTACAGATAAAAAGTTTAAAAAAAAAAAAAAGAAGATCAGCTCTCGTTTGGACAACTTTGTGAAGCAGTGTGTTGTGATTGCTTTTCCTTGGTTTTCCGGCCTGGGTCCTTTTACTGCATCCTGTGCTAAAACACTGAACCACAGCATCACTGTGCGACAGATCTGTCCACCACAGAAGCAGAGATCCAGGTCTTTTATCCCTGGCATCTAACGTGGTATCAGGATCAGTGGGAAACATTCTTTGGATGTGAAGAGAAGAGACGAGAGTGGTCTGGTCCTACTGACACAGGAATGGAATAGCCATTTAACAGCCAATTACAGCGAGGCTGTAATTCCTGTCTGACTGCTGGGCAGCTTGAACCACCAGCAGTACATGCACAATGGCCCCATCTAGCACTTTTCATATATTTTATTAGTAAAAAGGCCAGTAAATGTATTTGTACCACCAGCCGTACAAGTTGCCAGTGGTACCACTGGTAGTGCGAGTTGAAGGGAATGTGTTAACTGGCACACTATAAGGAGTGAATTTACAGTTTTTCCAAAACTTTTTACTTATTACTAGTATTATGAACGTGCTATTCTGATAGGAGACTCCCAAGTTAAAAACTTGGTTCTTTTTCCTATAGGTATCTACACAAGGAATTTGCAGATTCCTGGTCAGTTTCCCGGTTGGCTGAAGGCTTTGATGTCAGTACCGATGTTATTCGCAGGGTTTTAAAAAGTAAATTTGTACCCACTCTGAAACAGAAATTGAAGCAGGATGAAAAAGTCCTTAAGAAGGCTGGGCTTGCCCACTCCATGCAGCAGCTGCAGGGCCCGGGAGATGGAGCAAAGCCTCTTGCTGCAGGCCATGCTGCATTGGGCTCTTTGCTGCTGCCCATGCAGGAGGCCTCATCCAGAGGCCAGAGCCCTGGCACAGCTCTGACAGTGCTGGAGCCCAACACTCAGAGTACAGCTGCTCCACATGGACCGAAAGTAAGGAATAAAGGAAGCCGGGATCTGGGGAAGGGGAGCTTTGTGCCCAACACTACAGCCTCAGCTCATCAGAGAGAGCCAAAGTCCTCCACCAGACACACTGTGGGCACCGGAAACACCAATGGCCGTGGCTTGCCAAGTGACGAGAAGCTGGAGGAGTGGAAGGCAGATGAGCCACATGACCAGAACTTCAGCAGCAAAGTAGTACAGAGGGGCCGGGAGTTCTTTGACAGCAATGGGAACTTCCTGTACAGAATCTGAACCAGAGCACGGCTTATGGAAATGCCTCGTGAAACACAGCTGGGCAAATGGGATGCTGTTGGGATTTCTGCTCCCTTGTTTTGAAACATTTTCACTGTGTGAAAGGTCACACAGGCTAGGCTGACCTTGAACTCAGTGCAGTCTTACTGCTTCAGCCTCCTGAATCCTGGGATCACTGGTATGCGTCCAGCTAGGGTTTCTGCATGTTTTATTTACCCTCACATAGAGGGGTGCAATGAGCCTGGAATATGAGCTACTTGATTAAATGAAGCTTTTTGGATCACAACCTCCACCCCAGCCCCTGTGGGCCTTTAGTCCTGTGCGCCCTCCTGCTTGGGCTCTGTGTTGAACACCAGTGTTGTGTGTGCCGAGTTGAGTTTCTGTCACACTTGTAATAATATGTTTGGGAGGAAATGAGCTTGTCTTCCGACCTCATTTCCTTCCCAATCCCTAACGTGGAGTGTTCTGGAACTGCTTAGTCAATTGGTTGTTTCCCTTATGTGCAAAAATAAAGTAAAACGTAGCTGTTTGTGTTGCTTGGTCCTCTCTGGGATGGGGGTGGTTATCTGTGAACCTTGGAGGGTGATGGAATGGAACAGGCAGAAGGGGATGCATTCCTGTCAGAACACTGGGAGAGACGGAACTACAGGCATCTCAAGCAGAGTTCTGTGTTCAGTGCTCCGTGGTTGCTGAGTTTTGACAACCCAAAACTGACCATCTTTGTCTTACTTGCTGGGGTTCTAAAGGAGATTGAGTAGAAGTTGGAAAAAAAGAAATAGTTGAAATAGGCAAAAGGCTTTAGCATTCCCAGCCATAATCTAAGGTTTAAGTAGATGATATCTCATTGTACAGGTGACATCAGATTCCTACAAACGTTACATGAGGTGGGCAAGAATAGACAATGAGCCCTTCTCCAAATAAGGAAGCCGACCCTAGGGTGGTCATAAGTGACAATACTGGAATTGGAACCTAGTCTCCACTAATCCAGGGCTTCTGTTGCCACTGTTTGGCATAGTTTCCATTCATTTACTGATTCACTGACATTTCAACTCTGTCATTGCCACCTGGCATCTTGCTATTTTTTAATGTCAATATTAACAATTAGCACTTATGAGCATTTGTTGGTGTTAACGACAGCTTTATCAGAGGACAAAGTGTTAGACATACAGGAGTAGACACAGCCCTTGTTTTCATTGTCAAGTAAGTTATGGTAAAGGTTTATTGATTTCTGCCCTCTCTGGTGGAATATGGATTAAACACAGAGCCTTCACAGAGAGCTGTATCTCTAGCCCTTTCATTTTCAGAAAGTCACTAAGTTGCCCCTGCTGGGCTTGAACTTGGTCCTCCTGGCTCAGCCTCCCAGTGTATTGTGATTACAGGTGTGTGCCACCATGCCTGGTACATTTATGGTTACTTGCTATGATAGTTGTTTTTAATTGTTCAAAGAAGTTCTGAATGCTGTTTAACTTTTTTTTTTTTCATAAAATATAGAGTGGTTTATTTGGATGGTTTTAAGGATTCACTGTGGATGCTGTTTGACTGTTACATTTGCATTTCCAACTCTTGTAAATCATCTCTAACCAAGCCCTTTCCCCAGTGGTCTATGGAAGTGTAGAGCTACTCCTAAAAACCAGGATGTGTGTACTCTGAAAAAGGAGATTGAAGTGGATATTAGAAAATGGAGAGATACTCCCTGCTTTTGGGTATCAAGAACCAGTATAGTAAAAATGGCCACACTTCCAAAACTGTTATGTAGATTAAGTGTAATCCCAATTAAAATTCCAATAGCTTATCTCACAGAGGAAATCCTAAAACTCATCTGGAACCAGAAGAGACCTAGAATAGCAATGGCAAAGCTGGGCAACAAAGACAAGACAGAGGGCATCACAATCCCTGACTTGAAATTATATTATACAGCTACTGTGATAAAAGCAGCATAGTAATGGCAAAAAAGCAGACCCAAAGAACAGCGGAACAGGTTAGAAGATGCAGAAACAATTGCAAACACACTAATAAGCCACCTTATCTTAAAACGTGCCAAACACATTCACTGGAAGAAAAATAGCCTCTTTAAAAAGTAGTGCGGGAAAAACTGGCTTTACACACGCCAAAGATTAAAACTGGACTCCCTTCTTTCACCATGCACTAAGTTAAAATTGGAATGGATCAAAGATCTTAATATTAAGACAAATATTAAATCTGCTGGGAGATAAAGTTGGTAAAACTCTTGAAGGCAATGGTGTAGGCAAAAATTTTATGAACAAAACCCCAATTGCACAGGAACATCACGATGAATCAACAACTGGGATCTTGCCCTATTGAAAAGCTTTTTCACCGCAAAAGAAACTACCAACAGAGTGAAGAGACAGCCTACAACGTGGGAGAAAATGTTTGCCAGCTGTACCTCAGACAAAGAATTACTATTGAGAACACATAAAGAACTAAAAAAAAAAAAAAAAAAAAAAATCAGTTCTCCCAGATTGAAAGACCCAATCCAAAAATGAGTATGAGCTGGGCCTGCTGGCTTATGCCTGTAATCCCAGCACTTGGGAAGCTGAGACAGCAGGACTGTTGGCAAGTTTGAGGCCAGCCTGGGCTACAAAGTGAGCTCAAGGCCAGCCTGAATTGCATAGTGAGATCCTGTCAGGAAAAAAAAAAAAGCATCTTCACACTTCTCAGGTGAAGAAATACAGCAAATACATATTTGAAAAAATGCTCAAGAAATCAATCAATAACAAATGCTGGAGGGGCTGTTGGCAAAAAAGAACCCTTCTCCAGGGTGGGAGAAAATGGCCATACTTCCAAAACTATTATGTAGATTAAGTGTAATCCCAGGGGCTGGGGATTTAGCTCAGTGGCATGAGCGCCGCCTGCCTTGCAAGCAGGCAGTCGTGAGTTCAATCCCCAGTACCAATAAAAAGGAAAAAGACAAAAAAAAAAAAAAAGATTAAGTGTAATCCCAATTAAAATTCCAATAGCACATCTCACAGAGGAAATCCCTAAAACTCATCTGGAATCAGAATGGTGGGAATGCAGACTGGTGCAACCACTGTAGAAATCTGTGGAGGTTCCCCAAAAAACTAGGACTAGAGGTCTTATTCAACCCAATTGTTTCCCTTCTGAGTATCTTCCCAAAAGAGTTGGAAACATCATACAGCAATATATGTGCACCCATGTTCATAGTAACATAATTAGTAATAGCTAGATCTTGGGAACAACCTAACTCCTATAGACTGAGGGGTGGATAAAAAGATGTGATATTCTTATATAATGGAGTATTACTTAGCCATAAAGAATGATAAATGAGACTTATAGGTAAATGGATGCAACTTGAGACTATCCTCATAAGTGAAATAAATAAGACGTGTAAAACTATTGTATTGTCTTACTAGTGTGAGAAGCTGAAAGAAACAACATATGTACATGTATATGTATATATAAAAAATAGTTAAGATAATTATACACTGATTTCTTTGAGTTCATTGAAGAGAAAGATCTGTGCTGGTATTGTTCAGACAATTGAATGCAGATGTCTTATGCTCTGGGTGAATGATTTGGGGATGACAATGCACAATGAATGTGCCATTGTTGCCCCCTGATTGCCATGTTTTGAAATTTGTTTCTCTTTAAAAAGTGGACTTGAAAAAAAAAGCAGCACCCTTTAAAAAAAAAAAAAGCAGCACCCTTCACATTCGTACTGTCGCCACAGTATAGTTTTCCCCAGTGTCTGAGATCCCACTGCTACTATATTGCCAGCAGTCAGCACTCTCCACAATTTCTTATATATTTTTAAAATTTTTCAGCTTCCAATATTATTAACTTTTGACTGTGAAAGATAAGGACTTATTTCTTTTATTTTCTTTTGGTACTGGGTATCAAACTCATGACCCTGTGCCTGCCAGGTAAGTGCTTACACCGCTGAGCTAAATCCACAGCGCTACTCTGCATTTTGAATGTAGATCCTGTGAAGGGCAGAGATGAGCATGTTCATTGCTGTAGTCCCAGCTCCTGCCATCTGGCTAATCATTGAATTAATGACTGGGAACTTTGTAACAAGCAGTCAGTCTACAGGAGGCTACTCAGCAAGCCCTGCCTTTTATGACTGCCAGCAAAATCCCAAACTTAGCCAAGGCACTTGAGCATCGAAGCAAACTTTGTCCTCTGGCTGGCATTGGTCTTGGATCCTGACTCCCTGGTGGTAGAAAACTCTAGCATCCACTCTAGCTCGGAGGAAACAGCCTCCGAGCCCAGGCAAGTGGAATGGAGAACCATTCTCAGTGTTTGCTAGGCTGGGGTCCCAAGGACTCAATGGACCCTCTTCCAGGCTGTCCTGTTTCACAAAATGAAGAACAGGAGCACCAAACTGGGTGAGGTGGAACTGTGCTTTGTCTGCTGGAGGAAACAACAGCTAACAGGTTTCCATCTAGGAGGGAAAGGTTGCAGGTGCTGTGGGCACCACACAGCAATCTTGGGAGCTGGATCAGATGGCTGGCAAACCCCAGCATAAGGGGCTTTTGTGTCCACACCACTTAGAAGCAATGTGCAGTCCCACCTCTCAGTGCAGTGAGAGTTGATCTCAGGAATAGTGGGAGTGTGGGGGCATAAAATACTAGATGAGCTCCTGGAGTGGAGTATGAATATGAAAGTTGTTATTGCACTTAGTCTTGTATTACAGAACTTTTCAACATATGAAAGTGGAATAATATAAAGCAAGGAACCCCTCCATACTCCTTATTCAATCTTTTTCCTTTAGTTTTGGGGATTGAACCCAGGTCTTCATTCTGCCACTGAGCTATACCCCCTCCCTTTCTCTTTTTGAGACAGGGTTTCCCATTTAGCCAAACTGGCTTCCAGCTTGCAGTGAGTCTTCCTGCCTCAGCCTTCCCAGTGCTGGGATTATAGGTGTGTGTCACGGCATCTTGCCCTCATTGTTTAATAACACCTTATATTCTGACAGTGCTCACTTATTTCATAAGTGACTTTTACAGGTGATTTATTAGCGTATTCACACGTAACTTTCCATTTTGTTACATCCTTTAAGTTGCTTTTATTTGAGTTTTGTTGTTGGTTTTTGTTTGTTTTTTGAGACGAGGTCTCACTACGTAGTTCAGACTGGCCTCAAATTCACTATATAGCCTATGCTGCCCTCAAACTCGTGGCTATCCTCCTGCTTCAGCCTCCTGCATGCTGGGATCACAGACGTGTACCACCACCCCAAATTTCCTTATTCTAAAGTAGTTTTCCCCTGCCGTTTACTGTTGGAGTTAGATGATTTGACCATACAATTTCCTGCATATAGTTGGATATGTCAGTTTTATCTCTATGGCGCCTTAACACTTTCTTAGGCGTGCGCCACCTAAGAAAAGGGCCCGTTTCCTTCCTTTCTTCCTTACTCCTCCCCCTCTCTCCTTCCCTTCTTCCTTCGTTCCTTTTTTTTTTTTTTTTTTTTTTTTTTTTATGGTATCGAAATCACGATCTTGTGCTTGCCAGGCAGAAGGACCCATTTTCGAAGTTCTCGAAAAGTCAGCA